CCCCCCCGGTCGTTGGCCACCGACTGCTTCAGCTCCTTGAACAGCCTCAGCAAATCCCGCCCACCCTTGGCAGGCTGAACCACCTCGTGAGGCGCCACCACCGCGCTCTCACTGAAGAGCTGCTTCGGCAGCTTCACCGCGCCGTCGAGCATCCTCGACGCCACGTCGGTGGTCGTAGGCAGGGGCAGCTTCCCCTGGACCTGCAGGAATACCTTCAGCTCATCACTCTTCCTGATCACCGGGTGATCCGCCAGCCTCCGCAGGTACTTCTCCAGCGCCACCCTCCTCTGCTCCACAAACTCCTGCTTCTGCATCATCTGGCTCTCCACCACGTTCTTGTCCGGCCGCGGCGGCACGAAGAACCCCCGGTACGACTCCGCCAGCCGGTCCGACAGCGTCACCACGTCGCGGAACCGCCTCCGGACGCCAAATTCCGATCCACCAAACTCCGGAACGTTCGTCCGCGTCGTGACCAGGTACGTGACGTAGGTGTTCCCCCCGGGGACGAGCGAATTCGACATCTCCTGCTCCTTCTGAGGGTTCGATACCGTGATCTTGATGTACTCCGAGCTCGAAGACGACAACGATCTGGAAAACGACGCCGAATTCTCCGATCTCTGGCTAGGGCTTTCGACGCCGTTGAAGTCCCCGGGGTTATCGGCATCAAAGGGGCTGAAAATCACGTCGGCGTAGGACGGAGGGTCGAGATACGAGCTATCGGCGGCGGCGCCAACGCCGCCGCCGAAATCCCGGTACGGTGGGGGCGCGAGCAGGGGATCGGAATCGGCTGGGGCGGCGACGACAGGAACGGATGAGGAGAGAGGATGGTTGTGGTCGGAGAGAGACGACATGGCGCTGCGGTAATTGGAGTGGGATTTGTTGTCGTTTAGAGGGTCGTCAAGGACGAGGCTTTCCATTTCGTCTTTGGAGGCGTAGAGATGGGCTTCTTGAAAGCCCTGGTTCTCGGAATCCATCATCTTCTGATTCTCCCACAGGCCAACGACAATAATAAAAACAATAATTACAGAAATTAAAAATCAAAACTTGTAGAAGAAGAGTGTTATGAAGGGGGTTTTATTGACATTAGGGGGAGTTTTGTTTGAGGAGAGCGAGAAAGTGAGGAGTGAGGACCACTGGTGAAGGCTATCGTGCGCCGTGGGGGGTGGGGGTGGAGGGGACGACGGAGCCAGCTGGGGGAGGACGATGAAGGAAGAACGGCACGTGGGGGTTGGGCTCTCGTAAAACGATAAACTCGTGTTTTTGTGATGGGTTCGTTCTGTACTTCTCTCAGTTAATATCCGGTTTTCAAAAAGATTTTTTTTGGGTTTAATTTTTCTTTGCTTGATGTTTGAACTTGAAAATGTCTGTGGGTTGACTCGGCTCCTTTTAATAATAATAAAAAATAAAATAATATAAAAAGCTTCTGGGGGGTTTGTAAACCATCTTGGTGATAATGCGATCAAGTCGTGGCGTCGTTAAGGCCTTGTTCATTTCACCGATTCGAGTTTTCAGTTTTAAGTTTTTACAGTAAAAAGTTCTCAGAAAATATCACATCTAATTTTTTCTGTTACAGTAAAAAGCTTTCACAAGATGTCACATCTAAACTCGAATTGAAAACTCGAATCCGCGAAGTAAACGAGCCCTAAGTTGTCCGGTTCTAAAATTTACTTGAGAAAATTGTTGAAGTTCTTTTCAAGCATAAGAATCTCGAATTTTTTTTATTATTCTTAATTAATATAGTTACTATTTAACTAAAAAATAATTTATCAATAATAAAAAATAAAATTCACACCATACTTATTTGTCTACCCTCATCTACTTAAATAGGAAATACGAAATAGGAAAAAATAAATAAATAAATAAATACCCCTTACAGCATCTTTAAAGAAACTCATTGAATTTTAGTTAAATTTTAACTAAAATAATTAGAAAGTTATTTTAAGTAGTAATTTTTGTTTCATGTATTCGTCTCTGATTCTGAATCATGATTCATGATTCTCTACAGTATTTTTCTCTCACAAAAAATACACGTAAAACGAGAATGATTCTGAATCATAATTTTAAATACAAGAACTAAACGTCCACTTAGTAGTTCACTCTAATCATACTCTTTATGTTAACTAAATATAGATTATTTCAATATTTATTGAATTTAAAATATAAATAACTTTATTGAATTTAAAAAGAATTTTTATATTTATTACAATTGAAAGAATAAAATAATACAAAAAAATTAAATGGTTAGTCTCTACATGCTAACTATATTTTAACTAGTGTGAAAGACATTATTTAAGATAGCTAAATAGTGGGAAAAGGCAAAAAAAAAAAAAAAATCAAATCAAATTTCGGCCCGATCCGATTTAAAGATCTTTTCCACTTAGAATGTATGGGTATTGATCTTTACCTCTTAAATTCTTACTATTGATTAATACTTTCACTAATGTACTTATTTGACTGAAAATGATATTAATTAAGAGTAAAAAGTAAAAATCAATACGCATACACGCTATGGGGTATTTGTCTTCCTTCTCCTTATTTTCCCTTATAAAAAGCATGTTGGCCCGATCCCGAGCATGATTTTTAGAGGGCCAACCATTTCACCATTTCAGATTAGACGGACCGAACTTGCATCTTTGTTAAGCTTTTTATGTCTTAATTGATTTGGTTTAACTTTTTTCCCTTAATTTTTTTTAACTTGCTAAATTAAAATATTTGATATTACACTTAACATGGATAAATTACGTGTAGAATTCAACAAAAAGTTTTGTTAAAAAAATTACTCTAAACAAATTTTTCTTAAAAAAAGTCTTTCTTATAGTCAGGTCAAATAGGTAGGTTTGAAACTTGACTCTTTACTCGACGTTTAGGTTTGGCCACAGCGAATGTTTAAGCTCAAATAACCAAATCGTTACAGTTATTAAAATTTTTTATTTTTGGCTAGACTATGTATGTTTTCGAGCAAGGCTGGACCTGCCGCATGAATTAGTTCTAAAGTGTTGAACAATATGATAGGAGAAATTTTTATGTATACCCTTAAGAGCACATGAGTCTTAATTTTTACCCTTTATTATTGATTAATATCATTTTTAGTTAGATAACTATATTAACAAAAAAAGTACTAATTAAGAGTAAAAGGTAAAAATTCAGACTTATACACTTTAAAATATAATTTCATCAATTTTCTAGTCGATAGGTTTTTGCATATGTATTTCTTGGTCTTTATCTTTAAGGGGGCGTTTGGTATGCAGTAATCAATAGGAATCAAATACATGGAAAAGTATTGGTGGGTAATATAATTCTTTAGAATCCTACATTATCATGTTTGGTTATGCCTATGAATCTTTTGTTAGATTCCCAGAAATGTTATTTTACAGTGTTTGGTTGAGCATAGTAATGTAATCATTCTTATAAAGTTAATAATTTTAAAAAAATTGAAACTAATTAAATCCTATTATTTTCATTTTACTAACTTATAAGATTAATACTATTAGTGGATTTTTTAAATATTATGAAAAAATACAAAACTTAAAAATGCTCCCTCTCTCTCTCACCCCTCTCGATCTCTCTCTCTCTCTCTCTCTCTCTCATCCCCCTGGATCTCCCTCTTGATCTTCCAGATCCACACGGGATTGGACGAGGAGATCGGCGACCACTGTTGGATATGAGGATTTAACAGTGGGGTAGAGCAGTAGTGGATCGGAAGGCGGATTTAACGGTGGTAGCAGCACAGGAAAGTTCGATGACGGAAGGTAGCAGCGACAGCGGCGACGGCGTGGTCAACGGAAGAGCAATGGACGAGAGAAGCGGTGGGGTCTGGGAAGAGATAGGTGGGAGAAATGTGGGAAAGTAAATAACACCCATTTTTTAACTTTCATGTAATATTAACTTTTTTCGAAAAGTAAATAACACCTTCTAAGATGGTTAAGGATTACCTCAAAATATGGTAATGTGAAACCCATGGGTTTCACTTTCTTAGATTTTAAAAAAGTTTAATAATTATACTAAATATAAGAATCTTTCAAATTCTCATTCTCACCTCTGAGATTACATCATACCAAACACCTCCTAACTGTTTTTCCCCACTCCATGACAATTTGTCATAAAAAAACGTAATAAAAGGTAATGAAAGTAAAATAAAACAATAAGTACAAGAAACATGTATTTTATTTATAACTAGCTTGTGGTACGTGCCATTAATATACATATTGTTTTACATACCATGATTTATTTTTCAAAGATGATCGTGGCAGCAAGTTGAAAGCCATAATCCACGTATTTAGGGAAGCTTTCAATTCGATTTATTTACATACTCGGTGAATAAGATATACTTACATTCACACTTATTTAGTCCTTACTTATTATATTTCTATTAAGTTTTGCTACATTAAATGGATTAAAAAATTTTCTCATGAGTTGGAATTTGGTAGTGATAATATTTTTTTTATATACATTGAATGGAAATGAAAATTTTTTATTCAATTTGTATAAATGAAATTTTAGGTAAAAAATACTTTATTCTTACATAATATCGTAGGGGCTATTTCTGCTTCAATTTAATATTTAGTTGAAAATATCAGTAAGTTAATCATGTTCCATTATATAGAACAAAAAAAATATATATATACGGGTTATTTTATTTTATTTTTTAAATAAGAAGCATATGAAACAAACACATGAAATTTTTTTACAATAAAACAAAGAGGTTCTCTCATTTTTTTCTCTTAACAATGGCAAGCGATATTTTTCATATGTGACTAATAGAATGTGTTAAAATAGCATAGATATTGGAGATTTATTTGTTAAAGACATGTTTCATAATGCAAACATAATGAAAAGAATCATCCTTTTTTGGTCTAAAATTAAAAGAAACAAAAAATAATGTATACTCGGTTACGATTTTTATATATTTTAAAAAATTGTGTTAAATGATAGCTTAAAATTCCTTTCATACCACCCGTTAATTCATAAATTCTCTATTTTATACACAGAAAAGTGCTTTTCTATTTTCCTTAAAAAAATACTTTTCTATTTTTCTTTTACTGTCCAATAAATGAATAGATTATACAAATTCATTCTGAAAAAAACATTTAAAAAATAAATAAATTAATATGGACTAAAGAAGTTACATAATGAAGAAAAAACATAAATAAAAAACATAAGACGAATAAAATTCATATCTACATACACACCTAAGACATAAAAAATATAATTTTGTAATTTAAATGCGTACATGAATAAACCACAATAGATAAAAGAATTTGTTCAAACACAAAAGGAAAGGGAAGAAAAAAGTAAAATTAAAGAAAAGAGAGGGAAAATAATGGAGAACGATTTGCATGTAAAAAGTATGAATTACTCGACATAATTGGTGTGAGGTACATGCACATCTTCCTTCATGTGAAAATTGCAACCTTTATTCTATAAAAAAAAAAAAAATGTTGCAATGTTTGTTGCTCACTTGGACAAAATTCTTAGTCCCAGGCCATCAAAGAATAACACGTGGTCAAAATCCCATTAGGTGGAATTCACTCATTATAGCTCACGTGTAAGCAAGACAGGAAACCACGTATAAAAAAAAAAGCAAGCAATCACACTTGTTGAAGTACGACTTATAGATGTCTTGTTCATTTTACAGATTCGAGTTTTCAGTTTTAAGTTTTTACAGTTAAAAATTCTCATAAAATATCACATCTAACTTTTTTTGTTATAGTTAAAAGCTCTAAAAAAATATCACATCTCAGATCGAATGAAAATTCGAATCCGCGAAGCGAACGAGGCCAAAGTCTTTTGAATCAAGAGATCTGGTTTAAACCAGTGTTTGTTTACAAAAAGTAAAAAGTAGTTATGATTTGACTCACCCAGAATCAGTGTTTAGTTTAGATGGTTATAATTTAATATTTAAACCATGATGTGATATTTTAAACCATGAATCAACCATGATTCTAAAACCACCCCCTTGATTTTGGGTCGTTGAAACCCCTGATTCTGGTTCTAGTTTCAGAACCATGATTTGGACCCAAAATCATGAATCATGATTCTGGTTTCAAAATCAGAACTATAATCACCATAATTTGAACCCCCATACCAAACGATGACTAAGGGATAAGAGATTCTATTTATTTATTTGATAACCTAAGGAGAAACTATATTCTCTGTTTATTGAACATAGAAATAAAAATGAAAATTTTATCATAAAGTTTACCAAAGCGTCTTTATAATTTAAAAAATAATTAACTTGTAAAAATGAACTTGTAAAGCTATACTAGTTGAAGCCCACAGGGCTGTTCGGCAGCCCCTTTTTTGAGTCAAAAA